GTATGTGCCTGTGTATCTTCCTTACGTTTACCTGCACGCGCATACCTATCCACGCCATGCACGGCCATGTACACACAAACGTAGCACGACTGTGAACTACACCTACACCTCTGCTGTCTCAGAGAATGATGTGGCTGAGAGAGCTGAGTGCTGCTGGAATGTGTGTGGTGGTTGCTCCTGTGATTAGCTTTGTTTGTGTGTGTGTTGTGTTGTGTGTGCGTGTGTGGTGGTTGCTACTGTGATTAACTTAGTTTGTGTGTGCGTTGTGTGTTGTGTGTGCATGTGTGGTGGTTGTTCTTATGATGAACTTAGTTTGTGTGTGTGTTCTGATTCATCAAATACAATCCAATTCGACGCATGTAGATTGTACTAATTGCTATATTAGTTGGTGGGCTGTGCACTACTTATGTATTAATTCTTGTCTATCTGCTTATCAAGGCCATCGAAAATCCCAGGGATAAACGCTCAGCCTTAATCAAAGGTATTCTGTCCGGAAATGTCTTCGACTGGGGCGCAAAGGCTGTGGCCGGTAGGTATCATGGTGTTTGTATACGATAGGATAGTATCGTTGATTGGTGGAGTAGATAGGTAGCATGACAAGGCACTGGATAAAGGCTGTGGCCGGTAGGTATCATGGTGTTTGTCTTCGATAGAGGATTGTATAGTTGAGTGGTAGTAGTTAAGTATCATGACAAGGGGTAGGTATCATGGTGTTTCTATTCGATAGAGGATGGTATAGTTGGGTGGTAGAGTAGATAAGTATCATGATAAGGCACTGGATAAAGGCTGTGGCCGGTAGGTATCATGGTGTTTGTATTCGATAGAGGATAGTAAAGTCGAGTGGTAGTAGATAAGTTTCATGACAAGGGGTAGGTATCATGGTGTTTGTATTCGATAGAGGATAGTATCGTTGAGTGGTGAAGTAGATAAGTGTCATGACAAGGCCCTGGATAAAGGCGAGTATGGTTGTATGATAAAGAATGGACGAAGGAGTAGACATTACACAGTGGGGATATATAGATCAGACAGCGCCTTTGCTGTAAACAGGTGCACCTCAATATTGGTTTGGGCCGGTTATGGGTCACTATTGCACCCGAATTTGGCATGATCACGGTTGTTCGTACAGTTGCGTTACTTTTTGCTCTATAAAGTGAAGCTTCTGAGACTCGTCTCTATCGAATACACTCCTCATCCCGTCCACACACTCACTTGCTCATTTTCTGAGACCCATCCCATCCACACACACTCACTTACACATCGTCTGAGACTCATCCCATCCACACTCACTCACTTGCACAACTTCTGAGACTCATCCCATCCACACACACTCACTTGCTCATCTTCTGAGACGCATCCCATCCACACACACTCACTTACACGTCTTCTGAGACTCATCCCATTCACACACACTCACTTACACAACTTCT